CTCCTGGAGCTGCTTCCGTGTACAACTGTTGGCGCAAGCTACATTAAAGTGATTATTATGTTTAGAATATGGATATTTTTTTTACAAAAACGCATCGATTCGCTACAGGAGGCCTTTGTTCACCCCCCGGAGCCGTGTGAGGCATTTTTTTATTATGGATGGGCGCTTTTTATTTCATTTCTTTTGGACTGATGCACTGCAACACCCGCTGACTGCCATTAAACAGCTTGAAAGATCAAAGACAATTTTTAATATAACTCAGACTGGATTCGTCTGAAAGAAGAAAGTCATATACACCTAGGATGCCTTGAGGGTGAGTAATTTGTGGGCTAATTTTCATTTTTGTGTGAACTAACCCTTTAAGAAAAACAGAATGGGGTCGATTGTGCTAGTAAAGATGTTGAAATTTAATGCATTGTTGCAGTGACTATAATGAAGAGCCCATAATGAAGTCTTGCTCTAAATTAAGGATAATGATCGAAGTGATAACTTACCTTTCTCACCTTATTGATTTTGTTACAGATGTGCTCACCCAATTGTGATGCAATTGACTAGACTGATTTCTTACTGAATCATAATTGTAGTCATGTACTACTACTTTGTTCAGGGTGTCCCACTTTCGCTTCCATGCTGTAGTTGATTGAAAGACACTTCAGGTGGTATTACCCATTTATTGCTGAGACCAAGGTGAATTGTTATAATTTCTAAAAAATAATCCTCAAAAAGCTGTTTATCGCTGTAGTTTGCACTGTAATTATCATTATGGCTTATATAGGTCTTGCGTATTTTAGTCTTCTGGTCCACAGTCCACAGAAGCTGAATTTGCAATGTGTGCTGCTACCTGCTGCTTTCCGGCCCTTTTCCGCTCTCTAATCTGCACTAGAAATACCTGGCTGTCTCTCCTCAATCCTGATTTTGTATTCTGCCCTCCATTGCCCTAAACATATTTGATCCAATCCCTTTGTCTTGTGGCACAAAACTGATTGAGGATGACTGGATGTTTCCTCGCTGCTCCGATCCAGCATTAGCCAATCGGCAACAGGAAGTGGAGGAGGAGTTGGCCCAGGCCCGTGGACTCTGCCCACAGAAAAGCAGAAAGCCCAAATATTTCACCCCACGCAGCCTGCAGGTATGAACTAAAGTCTCTAGGTAAATTGCATACAGATGAGTGACAAATTAAAGGAAAAATTTCTTAGTAAGGTGTTAGGTCACCGTGTGCTGCCATATCAGCTTCAGTGCACCTTGATATTAATTCTAAAAATTGGATTACTTCTTACTGGAGCAGTGGAACTCCACTCTTCCAAAAGATATGCCCGCAAGTGATGTTTGAATAATGGTTGTGTCTAACAAGCAAGTTCAGAAGCTCCTTTTAATTGGCTTAAAATATGGTAACTGCAAAGGCGATAGCATATGTTTCACATAATTTTCATGCTCTTCAAGCTGTTCAGTGAACGGGTGCCCTGTGTATGGGCCTATAGCCACTCCCACAGCGAGTCCCCTTGGGTTTTTGCTTTAATTTCTCACCAAACTGTATTTAGTACCTTTACCTTTTTTTTTTATTTTTTTTTTATTTATTTTTTTGCTGTGTTGCAAAGTTGAATTAAAAGAATAGTTTAGTCAGAAATGAGTCAAAGTCATTTACTTGCCCTCATATCATTTCAGACTATGACTTTTTTCCTTCAAACACAAAGTAGACCCTTAGCCCTCAGTTGCCAGTCTCTAATTTCACATGCATTACATTCAAACATGTTGTGTAAAGAAGATGCACTAAGGGCTGTCAGTGTAGTCAAAGGCTATTACTTTTCACATGTTTTGTAACTTATCTTAAATTTGAAGTTTGAAGATGTTGAAAAATACAAGAAAGCCATGCAGGTGTGATGTATTGTAGTAGTAGTAGTAATAATAATAATAATGCATGTTCTTTCTATTTCTTTCTACAGGAGGACTTGGAATTTCATAGTAGGCAAGACCCAGTAGGCCCCTCTGATTGCGATGTTCTTGTGAATGGAGAGAACATGGGTGGATGGTGGCCACAGCACAGTGCTGCAGATACAGGTGTGAAACCCATTAGACACTGTCCATGTTCTAAATGTTTGCTGTGTGCAGTTTTTGGTCTTGTTATTTTGGTCACACTTCACTTGAGTGTGATGATCTCCATCTTTTTTATCTCTGTGCACCAAATAAGAATGGTTGTCCAAGTTGGTCATATTAAGAAATATGTAAATTGGAAGGGATTTATCATCTGATTATCTGAAGGTTATTGAGATTCTAGTCAACTTGTAAACCCTTCTGTATCAATACAAAGAAGACATAACTGTTATAATAAAATAATTGTAATAACAGAACAGCTAATAACAACAACTACTAAATAGTAATAAAATACTAGGGTAAATCCAAGTGTAAAGTGGATAATAAAATAAAGTGCATAGGATGAAAAGTGCAAGTAACATTATCTTATTACACGCAGGGCTTGACATTAACACCCGCCAACCCACCAAATGCGGGTGGATTTCAGCAGTGGTGGGTAATATAGTCAGTCCCACTAGCCACTTTGGCGGGGTGAATGTTATATAGCCTACAGTAACAGAGCTTGTTAGGACAAGTGGATTTTTGAAGGGGCACGTGAAAGAGAATTTTACTTGCCCAACCGCTCAACTAATCGAGAATGATTCTGATTTTATTATATTCAGTTTAAATGGCAATTGATAATGAATAATCAACGGTAACAACGTCACACCAGTTGAGGCTCATGTAGCCTGTCTGTATGTAAAACATTCTCGTGGAGAAATCAGAACAAATGAACGCAACTGCACACAGAAGAAACATACTGCGCTAAAAATTTTACTTTTAAGTTTTTTATATTTATAACATAGCATAGTTAAGCAACATGACACGACCAAGAGAGTGAAGTGTTCACTGAAAACTGCGATACAAGAGTTCAAATGAGTAGTTAATACACATTTTAGTACAACATTGTCAATGTTGACTGTTTTTGCTCGATTTGGTTAACAAAAATAGTTCCAAACAAAGATCACAGCAGAACAGCCACGCATCTCTGAGCAACACAGCGGTGTTTTGTTACTGAATGATTCTGTGTTTTTGAATTAATCATTTGAGTCAATGATTCAGTGATCTATTCATAAAGACAGGCATTTGTTTCATTCTTGAATCAACAAATTGTTTGAATGAATGCCTGTGACTCAGTGAATTGATGCCACCTTCTGGTGGTTTACTTTCATATTTAAAAGTAGCTTATCTTTGCATTTTTCCAACATTTTATATTTGCATATTTTAAAAAAAACTGATTTAAAGGGGTCATATGATGCGATTTCAATTTTTCCTTTCTCTTTGGAGTGTTACAAGCTCTTGGTGCATAAAGAAGATCTGTAAAGTTGCAAACACTAAAGTCTAACACATGCATTACATTCAAACATGTTGTGTAAAGAAGATGCACTAAGGGCTGTCAGTGTAGTCAAAGGCTATTACTTTTCACATGTTTTGTAACTTATCTTAAATTTGAAGTTTGAAGATGTTGAAAAATACAAGAAAGCCATGCAGGTTTGGAAGGACATGAGGGTGAGTAATTTATTATTATTGTATTTTTTATTTTTGTTGTCCTGATTTGCAGACTTGTGGTTTTTTTTTACTACTCATTTGAAGCATTTTTATTTTATATATATATATATACAGTGGGTACGGAAAGTATTCAGACCCCCTTAAATTTTTCATATGACCCCTTTAAAACACCAGTATCATTTCATGATTTATGATCTTGTAATTTTGCAGTGTAAGTGTATTCATACTAAATTTTAGCTTCATTAAACTGTCTGTATAAATGCATCTAACGCCACTTCAGCTGCTTCTGTTTCTTCTGCAGTGAAAAGATAGCTTTTTGATTGGTAACAACAATATTGTCTTATTATATTAAGGGAAATTATTAATAAAATGTAAGAATTTGATATGAAAGATGATGCATGCATTTAATATGGTTAGGGGAAAAAATGACCTGGAAATCGATTTAAATAAATTTTAGTATGCAGTACTATGTAATTAATTTCCCAACAACAAAATTGTGGCCAGTGAAAATAATTTTGGAAAACCACTTGCCACAGTGGCTGTTGAGCAAAAAAGTTCATGCCAAGCCCTGATTACACAGCTCTGTGGAATACTCTATTCTGATTGGTCAGACACCACATTCCGAGGTATGTTATTCCCTGATAACAACCGGTAAAAACAACTAAAACAGGCTCATTCGGGTAACTGCAGTTGGGGCTATTCGCTTACTGGGAACATTTTTTCTTCATGGAAGCTTTGCATTTGGTTGGCTAATGAAATTTTAAAACTCAGATTGATAAATTGAATAAATTAAGATATATGCCATTTCTTTTCACTTGTTTAGATGGCTTGAGGTCTGTTGTTGAGGAGCTTGAACTAGAGAGAAACCAACTGCAGGAACAGATTTTGGTCCTTGAGAAACAGTGCCAAGATCTAGAGGACCGTCTGCAACTTCAGGCTCGCATTGAATTGCTACAGGTACACTGAAACTGTTTGGACTACGTATAACGGCACTATCAATATCAGCATCTGCAGTTACACTGCTTGCCAACTGACCCTTTGCTAAGCCTGCTCCCTCACTTACTGCAGCTGTCAGTCACTAAATTATTGTATTGGATTGCCTCAGGAATCATTAAATATAGTGGAAATGTATCAGGCCTAGTCACTTTATTTACCTTCCTATAATCTGCACAGAAGCAATTCGTCTCATCCATTTTTTTCCATCAAAAACCATATATAATCCAACAAATGAGTCAACATCACATTTTTTAAGGGGTGGTTGATTGCGATTTCACTTTTTTAACGTTAGTGTGTAATGTTGCTGGTAAACAATAAACAATATCTGCAAAGTTACGACGCTGAAAGTTCAATGCAAACGGAGATACCGTCTTTTAAAATTCTGGCAGTTTAATGCTTACAAAAATGGCTTTTAGGGACTACAATGAGCTTCTTCCCGGGTTGGTGACATCACAAACCCTGAAATTTACATAAACCCCGCCCCCGGGAACATGCAACAAAGGGGGCGAGGCCATGTTGCGCTGCTATAGAGAAGAGGAAGAGTTGTTGCCATGCCTTCAAAACTAGGGGTGCACAAAAAATCTATTCATATATGAATAGCGATTCTGTATTCTAAAGATTCTAATGGATTCACAAGTTTCAAAATCAGTATTCTAAAGCAGCGGTTTTTAATCCTGTTCCTCGCGTCCCCCTGCTCTGCACATACTCTGCTCTGAATCTCTCTCTCTCTCACCTGATCATCAGCTCATCGGCTCCAATAAACTGTGTTCCAATTATACACTTTTTGTGTATAGACAGATATTTTTCACATAACTATGAGAAGCGTTAAGCATGTGGTTGGCGTGCTGTATTAAAGCTTTAATCAGGATAAAACCGTATATTAAAAGCTAGCAACAACAAACAAAAAAACATACCGTTAAGAGCCGTGTGCTTGCACAGGTTCTGCGCGATCCTCTTCACTAATATCCTCTGCATCTCATTCGGGCTCAAATTGATAAGAAATATTGATGACGCCATTGTTTACAATACAACACAGGAGCACATGCCACTTAGGTGAGGGGCGTGATGTTTAGATGCGCACTAGGCGGTTTAACGAAACACAACACACTGGGCCAGCTAACCAATCTGAGCCCATTGCGTATTTCTGAGGGAAGGGCTTCATAAAAGCAGGAAATGATCAGCGCGTTTATAGGAGAAGGGACGCTCTGGATAGCTGGCCAATCAGAGCACACCTCGCTTTTCAGACCGATGAGTTTTGTAAAAATCGACGCGTTTCAGAAAGGCGGGGCATAAAGGAGAAACAATAATGTACAGTATGTGGAAAATAATGTGTTTTTTTAACCTTAAACCGCATAAACACATTTCATTACACCAAATACACAAAATAATGTTCTTTTTAGCAACATCATATGACCCCTTTAAAACACCAGTATCATTTCATGATTTATGATCTTGTAATTTTGCAGTGTAAGTGTATTCATACTAAATTTTAGCTTCATTAAACTGTCTGTATAAATGCATCTAACGCCACTTCAGCTGCTTCTGTTTCTTCTGCAGTGAAAAGATAGCTTTTTGATTGGTAACAACAATATTGTCTTATTATATTAAGGGAAATTATTAATAAAATGTAAGAATTTGATATGAAAGATGATGCATGCATTTAATATGGTTAGGGGAAAAAATGACCTGGAAATCGATTTAAATAAATTTTAGTATGCAGTACTATGTAATTAATTTCCCAACAACAAAATTGTGGCCAGTGAAAATAATTTTGGAAAACCACTTGCCACAGTGGCTGTTGAGCAAAAAAGTTCATGCCAAGCCCTGATTACACAGCTCTGTGGAATACTCTATTCTGATTGGTCAGACACCACATTCCGAGGTATGTTATTCCCTGATAACAACCGGTAAAAACAACTAAAACAGGCTCATTCGGGTAACTGCAGTTGGGGCTATTCGCTTACTGGGAACATTTTTTCTTCATGGAAGCTTTGCATTTGGTTGGCTAATGAAATTTTAAAACTCAGATTGATAAATTGAATAAATTAAGATATATGCCATTTCTTTTCACTTGTTTAGATGGCTTGAGGTCTGTTGTTGAGGAGCTTGAACTAGAGAGAAACCAACTGCAGGAACAGATTTTGGTCCTTGAGAAACAGTGCCAAGATCTAGAGGACCGTCTGCAACTTCAGGCTCGCATTGAATTGCTACAGGTACACTGAAACTGTTTGGACTACGTATAACGGCACTATCAATATCAGCATCTGCAGTTACACTGCTTGCCAACTGACCCTTTGCTAAGCCTGCTCCCTCACTTACTGCAGCTGTCAGTCACTAAATTATTGTATTGGATTGCCTCAGGAATCATTAAATATAGTGGAAATGTATCAGGCCTAGTCACTTTATTTACCTTCCTATAATCTGCACAGAAGCAATTCGTCTCATCCATTTTTTTCCATCAAAAACCATATATAATCCAACAAATGAGTCAACATCACATTTTTTAAGGGGTGGTTGATTGCGATTTCACTTTTTTAACGTTAGTGTGTAATGTTGCTGGTAAACAATAAACAATATCTGCAAAGTTACAACGCTGAAAGTTCAATGCAAACGGAGATACCGTCTTTTAAAATTCTGGCAGTTTAATGCTTACAAAAATGGCTTTTAGGGACTACAATGAGCTTCTTCCCGGGTTGGTGACATCACAAACCCTGAAATTTACATAAACCCCGCCCCCGGGAACATGCAACAAAGGGGGCGAGGCCATGTTGCGCTGCTATAGAGAAGAGGAAGAGTTGTTGCCATGCCTTCAAAACTAGGGGTGCACAAAAAATCTATTCATATATGAATAGCGATTCTGTATTCTAAAGATTCTAATGGATTCACAAGTTTCAAAATCAGTATTCTAAAGCAGCGGTTTTTAATCCTGTTCCTCGCGTCCCCCTGCTCTGCACATACTCTGCTCTGAATCTCTCTCTCTCTCACCTGATCATCAGCTCATCGGCTCCAATAAACTGTGTTCCAATTATACACTTTTTGTGTATAGACAGATATTTTTCACATAACTATGAGAAGCGTTAAGCATGTGGTTGGCGTGCTGTATTAAAGCTTTAATCAGGATAAAACCGTATATTAAAAGCTAGCAACAACAAACAAAAAAACATACCGTTAAGAGCCGTGTGCTTGCACAGGTTCTGCGCGATCCTCTTCACTAATATCCTCTGCATCTCATTCGGGCTCAAATTGATAAGAAATATTGATGACGCCATTGTTTACAATACAACACAGGAGCACATGCCACTTAGGTGAGGGGCGTGATGTTTAGATGCGCACTAGGCGGTTTAACGAAACACAACACACTGGGCCAGCTAACCAATCTGAGCCCATTGCGTATTTCTGAGGGAAGGGCTTCATAAAAACAGGAAATCATTGGAGCGTTCAAAGGAGAAGGGACATAGTGGTGTAGAATAAAGGTAATTATGTGAAAATGAAGCATTAACACATGTTAGACTGCACCCCATGAACACAATCAAGCCTAGAAAAAAAACAGTCAACCACCCCTTTAGACATTATATAGATATTTTTGGGCCGCTAAAGCCTTACCTATAACTAACCATAACAATTTCTGAAAAATATTGTTAGTGAAAGAAAATTAAAAAAACCTAGGTGTGATTAATTTTCTTAAAAAATACAGCTATGAAGTAGTTCCAAATCTGTTGACCGTGTTACAGTTCTATATCACTTGGCCAAATAATTTCTACTACTATATTACAAAGGCCATTCAAAGATACTGACCAACCAAACAAAATGACAATTTCCATAATTTCCCTGCTAATAACTGCATGTCTATGGCTCAAGCCTCTGTTACTAGATCTATAAGCTTTTTGAATTGGCAACGAAAGATGAGGATGGGATGCATAAGAAAGTAATTCTACTATCAAGAATGTTTTAATGACAAAAACTAGACAAATGTATTAAGGGAAAAAAATGTAAACATAGACACACAAAATACAATAATAAACTTACAAATTCTAACAAAGTAATAGATTGACAGCAAGAGTGGCCTATGTATGATTTGTCACTAATATTTTTAAGGTGCTGGGGCTTATCAAAAGGTCAGTTTTAGCTGTTTCCAAAAAAAAAAAAAAAATGCTGAGTGATGCAAGTCTTTAATTTTTCTTTAATTGTAGGGAAAAAAAATATATTTTTGACAGTTTGAATCATGTTAAATCTCGCCATGAGTGTTGGATAGCCAGTTAATGACCTGTATATTGAGTGAACTATATGCAACACTCCTCTAACGCAGGCAACGTTTGGTATAGATGAAGGAGGTCGAGCACTTTCCCCATCTCAGGTTTGTTTATGTTTGTGTAAGCTTCCAAAAGCACATCTGAGCGTGGAAACTTCTCTTTGTACTGTACTTATCACTGTTTCTACTAGAGCCCGACCGATATATCGTTTTGCCGATATTATCGGCCGATATGAGCCTGTCGCCGATATATCGGTATCGGCGAATATGCCGCTGATATGAACATTTACTTTTACAGAACATATAACGCAGATAAAATGCTTGAAATGGTGTAATTACTTTGTTTGTCCAGCAGAGCACACTTCATTGTTTGCTACTGGCGACCTGGATGAAACGCTTTAAAGCTTAAGTCTAAAACCATTTAAATTTTGAATGGCCATATCTCCGCAACGGCGCTTCGAATCCGCACCAAATTCGGGGGATCCCTTCAGCTCGAGGAACCCTCTCGAACGCGAATCGAGTGTACGTCTAGAGGCCCGCTTTCGAATGAGACCACCCCCACGTCGATAGCCCCCGGGGTTCGGGAGTTACGGGTGGTTAAGTTCGCGGTCCGGCGCCGACCGATCAAGCGATCCCGGGGGGCTACCGACGCGCGGAGGGTGGCGTTCGAGAGGGCTCCTCGAGCTGAAGGGATCCCCTGAATTTGGTGGAGATCCGCTGGCGCGTTCACGAGATAGTGATACCAGTCAACACTTTCACTTCAGTAAGGAGGTCTCTTGTTCAGGCAGCAGCATTCAAGCTTTGTCTTATTCGACTATAAGTGCCCTGCGAAGTGGACTTCACATGAAATTCCGCCATGATTCCAGTTCCAAGGGAACGTACACGTTACATTCAAAGGGCATTAAAGTGCGCGAGACGTGAATTTATATTGTATTTATCGGAATTATTATTTTAACTCCCTAATATCGGTATCGGCCCCAAAAAACCCATATCGGCCGGGCTCTAGTTTCTACTGTTTTAACACTGTCCTCTTCACACTATAAATAAGAGTGCAGTTCACACAGGGTGTGTCAACAGTGGTTTTTAACCGTTTGAGTTAAGCTAGGGCTGCATAAGTAGTCAAAAAATATAATTGTGATTACATATATGGCTGCCAGGACTATGCAATTGTAAAAAGAAACCATTATTGCCAGGGATGCACATAAGTGATTAGTAATGCACTGGGTAAATAAGTTCAGACTGCTCCTTTGCATACCGAAATGGTTGACAGATCACCATGTTGTGCATTAACTGTATAAGATTTACATTCAAATTGAAAGCATAAATCTAGGCTATGCACTGCCCATTTCAGAGCAAAAAGCCTTATTGCTTCACTTGACAGCACTAAAATCAGCAGAGCATATACTTACTTGCCAGCAAACATATTTTATTGGACTGTCCAGCTTTTAATGTACAGAGAAAACTCTTTTATGAAGTGAACTCATTTAAAGAGTTATTTAGTAAAATTTTGCCAGGAAAAGTCACGTTAATGTAAAAAAAGCTTGTGTGATATAACTTGTGTTTGTTTGTTTGCTGGTTTTTATTGTATTTATTATACTTGTATGTTTTAATTGTTTTTACCATGAAAATAGCCTCTGATGCTGACATGGCATTAAATAAATATATACTATACTATACTATACTTGCCAGCAACCCGTCAAAATAAAAGCTTGCTGAGTTTAGGTTTGAAGATGGTGAAAATGTATATTTAAAGTAAAGAAATAAAAGGAACTGAAAATGTGAATACATTGTATTTTCCAGTGTACTATAAAATAATTGTACTTTTATTTAATACTCACTTTTTAAATATAATGGTATTATCACACTTTATTATTTTTTTATTTAAAAAAATGAAATAAATAAATAAAGTGCAATAATGCTATTATTAATTATTAGTTTATTTTTTATAGTAGGTCACACTATGCTCAGGGTGATCGCCAAACCAAATCTTCAGGTGCTCTGATGAGAACCAGACTGAGAAACTTATGTGTATCCCTGATTATACTATAGCACGATATTGACGTGTACTCCAGTTGCATCAAAAGATTATTGTTGCAGTGCATGTATCCCATTTTTAGGAGTTTTTGTGAGAGTGCAGGACTGAGTCAGTGAGCTGACACTTTCAGCATACAATTTATTCATAATTTGAATATGTTTTTTTTATTGTGCTAAGACAGAGGCACCAAACTCAGTTCCTGGAGGGCCGCAGCCTTGCAGAATTTAGCTTTAACCTTAATTAAACGCACCTGATTCAGCTAATTAAGTCTTTCAAAATTTAAAAACCACAGGAATGAGTGTTGGAGCAGGGTCGGAGGTAAACAGCAGCTGGAATAATTCAAGTGAGCATTTCATTGACTAGTGGTCATGATTTAATTTAGCAATTTCTGTATTGCATTAGTTTTTAATATTTCTGATGGGCATTTAATAATTTTTGACTTTGTAGTGTGAGTTAAATATTTTTTGTTTGGCGCATTTTACCCGTAAATGGAAACCTGTTTAATTATTATGAACACCTGTGTATAAGACATTTTTCACTCCCAGCCGTTGTTAACAATTACACATCACATATAAGTGATTAAATACAAAACAGTAGTTATTAAATTTGATGTGGTTTGGAATTGGTAAATTGTACTGGGGGGGGGGTAACAAACACCTGAGTAACAAAACTTAAATACAAGACCTTCCCTGACATTTTAGGTTGTCTCTGAAAGCCTGTAGACAGATTTTTTTTTTTGAAGGACTTGGGACATTTAGCTGGGAAAATCAAAAGCATGTGATGTTTACACACATTCCCGAGAGTCTCTCTTCTATTCAATGACATGAAATGAATGCTTATGCAGTGTTCAGGGTAATGCCAAAAGAGTTACTCTGTACTATAATGTCAATGTGACATGCAAAGAAAATGGGTTAATAGTCTCACACAGCCAGATCTATATAGTCTATAGCCTCATATATACTTACAATCCAACTATCATAACAGTGTAATCTGTTGACATGATGCCAGAGCTTGTGCAAACATATACACATCGCTTTGATCAGATGTTTTATAACTGCTTCTTTCTCACCGCTGTCAATAGAGTTTGAGTGTGAAAACACCCTTAATGTACTGATGCATAAAATGACAGCAAACTAGTTTCCAGCTTGTTTTTAATGTGTATTAGTTGGTATTCTTACAGTATTTGAGGGCAATAATCAGCAATTCTGATTTTTGTCATCATCATGCAGCCCTAGGTTAAGCACACATTTATCTATAACGACATGACACGCAGTTGGGCCGTGTGGTGGATTTTCGCTATTTTGCTTGAATTGTTGTTATGATCTGTCATCTTCCTATCCATCAGAATGAATCTGAGCGCCTGCAGGCACAGGTCGCCAACCTTCGCAGTCAGCAGATAAGAGAGACAGAAAAGCATCAGCTACTCATTGCCAGCCTGAACAAACAACTCAAAGGGTAATTATTTAAAATTAGGTCCTGGAGCCTAATTGCAGAAACATTCCAACTCAGATTCTTGTCTGTTTTGTAGCCATGGTAATCTCATTTATACACTGTGCTGTGTTTATAGCAGAAAAAAAAAAAATTTTACATATCTGTTGAATCAGACTGAGCAGCACACAGGAGTGTCTGGAGTCCTCGCTCATGGAAAAGGAGCACACGCTTGCCAGAACCTCAGAGAAACTGGAATTTATTGACAGTCTGAGAGAGGCTTTAGAAACAAAACAAAAACAAGAAACAACTGAAAAACTGCTTCAGACTGAACACAATGTGAGTAAATATGAACTGTATTGTAATATTGAGTACATATTTAACAAGATGACACATCTAGATGATTGGGCATATATTGACCTATATTTCAGCTGTCTGCAACATATATTTCAAGTTGACAATAAATATTGTCCAGTAATTGCAATGTAAAAAAAAAATATATATATATATATATATACACACACACATGCACGCACGCATGCATACATACATACAGGGCTTCCGCAGGTCCTCAGAAATCTTAAATTTAGTTTTTATCAAATTTAAGGCCGTAAAAAGTCTTAAATAGTCTTAATTATGATTTCAAGAGGTCTAAAATTTGAGGACAGAAAGACAAGAATTGCGATATGGCTTAATGTGACAAATAAACTTAAAAAGGCTTTGATTTCATTGAATAAATATAATTGCTACACGTTTTAAAGTCAGGTGCAGCACTGCTTTGTGTACTGCGGGTACCGGGGAAACTGCTATACTTCTGCCGTTCTGAAAGCGCCACCTGCTGTCAGATGAATTTGCATTTTCAATAAGCACGTCTGCTGTTTTTGTTCAGACTAATGTGAAAATTAAACGATTTTATTAAGAGAGTAAAATATATTTGTAATTTAATATTTAATAATAATTGCTTGGTAATTGTTTAAATTAATGTAATAGTTCATACTTTGTCATCCATTTTTTTTTAAATGGTTTAAAGGCTGAAATGTGAAGTTTATCATTCTATAATAATAATCAAATATATACACTGAACAAAATTATAAACGCAACACTTGTTTTTGCCCCCATTTTTCATGAGCTGAACTCAAAGATCTAAGACTTTTTCTATGTACACAAAAGGCCTATTTCTCTCAAATATTGTTCACAAATCTGTGTTAGTGAGCACTTCTTCTTTGCCGAGATAATCCATCCACCGCACAGGTGTGGCATATCAAGATGCTGATGTTACGGGGCTGAGAAGACGTGAGACGTGCGGATCCATATGCAAGCTTTATTAACATCAGAGGAGGTCAG